TTTTTACAACATGAAATTTGGCAAAAATAGCAAAAAAACTAGAAGAAATTAACTTTCGCAAGAACAGCGGAGCTTTATTAATGAAAATAGTTGCCTCGAAAAGTTAAAAGAAATTAAGTGCTCTACGCCGTAGTTTGAAAGAGGTTTGAACAGTCTTTCAGCCTGGAAGCTAGCAGCATAAAAAACGCTGAGACAAAAAAACGATGAATTGAAGCAAGACTGAAGAAAATAGATCGTGAATTATTAAAGAAAAATCAAGAATAATCTTTTAGTGTCTGGGTCTAGTAGGCAAATATAAATCACAACTAAATATGTGAAATACCCAATTAGACGAAAAAGCTGCCCTAAATAAGAAAAATGGGCAAATAAAAAAAAAATTTACAAATCGACTTGAGACACGAGTAGAATAGATATTACTAGATGTAAATTTTGGACTTAATCACCTCGTTGGTAAAATGCTCACAGAATGGTTTCATTTTAAGGTGCTTTGAGACGGTTTCACCATCAGTCGCAAAGAGGGTCTGGCTCTAAAAAAGACAAAGACAACAAATAAGACTGTATGAATAGAGGGAAGGGGAGAGTTCAGATTAAAATAGGCCCAATAAGGCAAAACAAAGCATATGCGTGAAAATATTAAGTGACTTAATGGAGTCAATAATGCCGTGCAAAAATCTGAATTTACTGCAAAGTTATGAGATTTGGTTATTTTCGATATGACTACTTCCAGAAACCATCACTAATGCATGTTGGTTAAAGTCATGTAGAATTAAAAGTGGAGCGTTTTTCACGGTGCCAGTGAAGTTCCCCCTTGGCCTGGCTTGCCTCAAATGTTGCATCTGACCTGAGAACCGTTTGGCTGTGTAGTGAACTGTTAGTGTGGCCAGAATTCTTGCGATCCGGTATCGAATCCCCTCGATCGTAAGGTCCACTCATCTCATCACCTTGAAAACCCCTTAAACAACCTTGGGTGACTAAGTTGTTAGGATTTATTTGCTGTGAATCAGATTCTTATCCAACATTTTCACTTGCAGATAGGCTGTAGGCCAGCGAAGAGTCTCCCGACGAAAATCTGGACGACTTCAACAAATTAAAAGGTCATCTCTGAAGGTGAAGAACCAACCTCACGTCTATAGACCCTTGCCGACGGAAACAAGAGACAATGAGAATAAAACTGAAAATGTCTGCTAATTCAATGGCCCCTAAGACGGAGAGGATGAGACAAAATAATGGTACCAACCTTCGATGGCCAGTTCAGTAACCTTTCTCGTGAGAAGATCAAGGTTACGGTTGATCTCGGCCGTTGCTGCGTCAGTCAAGAGGCCCGTGGAAACGGCCGTAGAGACGGCTGTATCCAGAGCCTCTGTTGTCGCCTTCTGCGAGTCTGGGCCTACAAACTGCCCAGTCTTGCAGGCATGCACAGCCTCCACCTGCATCAATTGGTAGCTGAGCAATGCTCGCTTCGTGGAGTCGGACAGCACCGCTCCGTGCTCGGTCTCGAGGTTGACAAAAGACCCATTGCAGTCGCCGACGATCGGGGCCGTCGTCATTTCGGCGATCCGACCGGCCAGACCGTTCAAAAAGCACTGCGACTGGCCTGACGACACGATTGGAAGTGAGACATCATCAACGCCCTCAGAGCCGATCGGCTCCTCGCTCCGACCGCCTCCGACACGACTGCCAAGGACAATGCTGCTGGCGGCGGACAACACGTCCTCGTTGCTAACTGTCGGTCTGGTGCCGGCCAGGAGGCTGGCATTCAACCCGGCCCCGTGAAGGGTCAAATTGGCCGGACAGACGGGACTCGAGGCAGGGCAGGCACAATGTGCATACGGACTGAGTAGGCCGGGCACAAGTCGGTCCAGCAGCCAATCACAGGCGCCGTTCGAGGGGGACAATAGAGTCGAGGTGGAGAGGCCTCGGGAACTGACCTCCGACCCGCGAGCAGCCAATTTGTTGTCGGCAATTGGATGAGCAGCAGAGTCACCTGTTAGTTGGCAAGGTGAATGAGCCCGCCAGTTTAGATTATACACTTCCATCTACTTATCCA